TGACTAATTCGAGGCGCAAGCCTCTGATTGTCATGGTCACCCCTTTGCTGCATGTACTACAGATCTACCGTCAGCCAACTAGCTTCGTTCTCCGCCGTCTCTATCCTATTTCTATCTCTAATACCAAGTCTATGATTTGCCATGTGCTAGTCTCTTGTGTGCCAACCCACAAATGTTGTGGTACAGCTTGTTTTGATTTAGTTCAATGGTTCAAGAACCATGGCCTGAATGATACGCTAGCAGCAAGAATTTACACTTTTCTGTAGGATTACACACTTAGATATACATTATAAGTGATATAATGTAATATAGTATATTACATAAATATATAATGCAAAATAATATGCATGTATTGGAGGCCTACTTCGGACGCCTTCCATCGAAACAATACAATAAAATATATAAAAAATTATGTGTAATATAATAAACTATAATTTACCAAAAAATAATATAAAACTATTACATATGTATAATGATTGTACTTACATATGTGTAATAAAATGTAATGTGTATTATACTTCCTGCTAAAACAATTAAATACAATATAGTATGTAATAATATTATACTAATAAAATATATGACATATTATCATTGAATAACTGACAAAATAATTTAATTTAATAAAATAAATAATGACGATATATAATATATATTATGCAATAAATACAAATTATATATATATAAACATTTAATATAATGATGTTATATACCTACTTTGGACGCTAATTGCCAAAATCTAATGCCGACAGCTCCGGTAGGAAGGGCCAATTTGATGAACATGATTTGATCTGGAAGGGTTGTAAGCCTCTGGACGGGATTCAGACGACAGCGCGCAATCGAGCTATTTGATCTGTACCAAAACGCTCAGCGGCATCACCACATCGGTTCCCAGGATCGTCGGACGGTCACACCTTTCATGTCAGTTGTCAGTTGTCTGTTCTCTTCATGTGGAAAGGGTGGGTTGTTGTGGGGCTCACAGGCTGGTCCCTGCCCGGCGTGAAAGTAAGCGGCATTTTTATGGTTGCGATCGACGACTTCAGCCGACCAGTTCTCGACGCAATCTGCTCCGAGAGGGCCGCTCGCAATCTTGCGTCGACACCTCTTTCCGGTTGCCAGCGGTCGTATTTCTCTGCGACCGTACTCGCGAGACAACTCGCAAGCTGAGCACTGTCTTCAGACTGCACCGATCGTCAGTAGATGCAGAACCGATGGCTAGATCTTCTACGATCTCCTCAGAATAAGGCCCTACAATGACATTGAATTTAGCATTGCTTCGTCTTCCGTAAGGCTTTCTCATTTTACAAATCATCTTATCCAAGATCTTCTGACATTTTCGACACAAACTCAACCAAATAAGGCCATAATTTTTCACCATAACTCTGTATGTGAAAAATCGGGAAAAGATTTTAGTTGAGGTTGTAAACTTTTAGTGTCAAGGTCACAAGTTGCGATGTCTCCATTGAATCGCAGGGTAGGTCTTCTCGACTTGATCATGTTCCAGCCGACTGAGGGTCAGGAAATCAAATAATCATTTAATAATCGTATGTCATTGGTTCTTTGACTTTGCAGGGCCTCGATGGTGTGTCTCAACTTTATAATAACCTGTACCAGAGGCTGCATCCAGCGAATGCAATTTTCGAAATCGGGTCAGTTTGGGTTAAGAGGTCGCACAAACTAAGCGCCATCTAGCGACAGGGCAGATGTAAAGTTCTTAGAATTGTGGGCCCCTCTCAATCGGCATGGATGTTGAGACTAGTGTGGATTAGGCAAAAGTGTACTTTCCGTTGCATTAAATAACGTCAGAATGTAAATAATGTGTAATTATTGAGGATGTAAACTATGCATTTTTAGACAACCA